CGAGTTTTTGACCTCTAGACTCGATTTCAGCTGTCTTATGTAGATTATGTGGATCATTTATAAATCTTTTAAAACGGGTTAACTGCGCTTTTAGCTGGCCGCGACGAGCGACAAGCCGTGCCACGTTCTGAGCGATCTGATGATCGCCGTCATCATTGTCTGACATGATGTACCAAAATGTTAATAAATTAAATTTGAAAAAAAACCCAGATTTATATGAAAAACAATCAAGCCAATAATAATAAACCAAACAGCGTGACTACCTGTAAAATGCTTGACCTAGCCGAGTGGCTGTAATTTTTAAAAACAATCGGCTACGGCCAAAAACAACAAAAATGTATAAATTTAATAAAGTGACAAAAACCGTGTATTGGCATGCAATTCCACAAAAGGTCATCGACCACCTCACGTAAATAACGCTTGTGGTAAATCTTGAGGGTGAATCCCTCATAAACAAGTACCTACCTGTCTGCTTGTATATTTTCTACCCAAATGGAGAAAGAAATTATATTAAAAATATGATTTTTATAACAGCAAAAATGCCTTTGAAAATAGATAAATTAATTCAATAATAATAATAACTGATAAGTTAATTTAGTGGACAATAGTAGGTAATAATAATGACTTTGATAATAATAGGTATAAGTATAAACTGAATAATTGATTCTAGTTTTATATTCAATAAAAGCTCAGACAAATCTCCATTAAATAATTAGAATTTAGGATAAAGGTTTGATAGAGGATAAATAAATTGGAAAGAACTCACAGTTTTCTCCTTGTTGCTTGTGGTTGCAATAAATAAATAGTTGTAGTTGGATATTTATTGCTGCTGATGATGGAAATAGGCTTCCACTAGTATTTATTGCTCTTCGGCTTGGTGAAAAAACGCTCTGCCACTCAACAGAAATCCGGCTCGAAGGACCAAATGTTGCATCATGTGTTGTTTTCAGCAATATTAAACGATTCACATCGACGCTTTGTTGCAAATGCTGGCTTGTTAAGTTGAGTTGGGGATAAATAAGTAACGCCCATTCAAAATAATTATTTATTCTTCAGAGGTGAAACTTTAAACTAAAAAATAATGCGGAGCAAACGAACTGTGTCGCACCAAGCCCAAAAATCAAGAAAGAGAGGATTACACAAAATATAAAAATGCCTGGAGGCAGGGTTGTAAAAAATTCCCTTTTGTTTGGTGCTGACGCATTAGAAATTAGATAACGAAAATGAGACGTTGCCGTGCTTAACTTATAAGATTAGATACACATAAATAATAGTAAATATAATAAAGAAAAAATAAAAGAAAAATACTCTAAATTAATGTGGATTGGACAACAATAAAAGATGACATGCGCGCGCAACTCGTAGGCTGCAGTGTAGCCAGATTGTATTGTTGCAGAACAAATGTAGACAATACAAATCAAACATTATAACATTAAAGAAGTAATATAGTCTCAAGTGTTTCACAACGCCTTAAATCAGACAAAAGAAGAGCTTTAAAGTGGATAAACATCGTTTGCACTTTTATTTTGATAAATGTTTCATCCGGCAACATCGCTCAATGAAATTGCAAAGGAATATGTCAAGTATAATCTAACATAACCCTAAACGAAACTGCGGTGAGTTCAAGTAATATGTAAAGTATTAGTTTGCTCTTTGTCAAATTACACGTTACAAAGAAAGAAGGAACGATTCTTTCTGAACTGGCCCCTGAATAAGAATATGACGCAAGCCTGTCATAAACTTGCTTCTCATTGGACGCTCACCTGCAGCCTACAAGCGACGCGCGCAGTCCAGGTAATAGGAGATCGGTCTATTATTATCTGACCTTTTACAACCAATGTCAAGCGTTATTGCTGAACAAAATCGTTTTTCTAAAGTATCACAGAATATATTACAGATCTTAAAAAACTAAGCAAAAATTGCGATTTCAAATGTCATAGTTGTAACACGTCAACCGTGGATGTTCACCTGAGACAACAATTCATTAGTGGACTCAAAAATCCAAACTAAATTGAAAAACTTATACAGTTGAAAGCTCCTGATAATACTTTTGCCGAATGTGTTAAAGTAATATTAGCGATGGAGTCTGCTTACAAAGAAACCAAAGAAATTCAAAGTTCTAGTACATCTAAAGACTTTCTTTGTTGTTCTTTGGATCAAAATCAAATTAAAGCACAAAAAGTTATACGAAAGAATTCGAATTATCAAACAAACAGAATTAATTTCAAAAATAATAAAAAAAAGTGTTTCAAATGTGGAGATTTCACGCATTTAGCTAATACTTGTCCACATAAAAATTTAAAATGTACAGAATGTCATAGATTTGGACACCTGGCAAGAGTCTGCATGAAAAGTTCCTCATCTAATATCACTAGATTGCATACAGAACAAAACCAGATTAATTTTACAGAAGGACTCGATACGAAAATACATGAATAACTATACCTCAGAAACAGATGGAACAGAAATGTATTTAATAAACACAATTAATTAAAGAGTTATTTTTACCTGAAAATACAAGAAAACCAAAAAAATATTTAATAAATGTTTATTTAAATTCAATACCAGTTAATATGGAATATGATAGTGGGGCTGCAGTTTCATCAATGTCACATCAAAATGTTAAAAAACTGTTTCCATTTACAAGAATTTTTCAAACTAATTTGCCATTAAAAACTTACACTGGCGAAATTATAAAACCTATTGAATATGCAACTATGAAAGTAGAAATGGATAATCATTCCTTCGTTGGTAACCTTTACATTATCCCTAACAAGGTGGATTCAATTTTCGGAAGAGAGTGGATATGAGATCCGGCGACGACGGTGTTTTACAAATAAATCAAAATCGAATATATGGAAGTCAAAAGAACGAGATAACTGATAATTTGAAGCTTGTTTGAAGAAGTTTTTAAACCTGAAATGGAAAACATTAAAAAAAATGAAGCAAATTTATACCTCAAAGATAATGCAATGCCAATTTACGTACCTGCAAGAAAAATACCCTATGCCATAGAAGAAAAGGTCATCGAAGAAATTAGGAGATTGGAAGCCGTTGGAATTATTAGTAAACTAGAATATAGCGAATGGGGAGCTCCAATTGTTCCAATAATAAGAAAAGATAGATCAATAAAATTGTGTGCGGATTACAAAATAACCATTAATAAAGTACCTACTTAAAGATGATAAATACCTAACGTAGAAGATATTTTTGCAAAGACGATGTTGAGTGGTAAAGTATTCATAACATTAGATATTCGAAAAGCTTACTTACATATGTCAATGAATGCAAAAAGTACAGAGATTCAAGGTATTACAACACCGAAAATAGACTACAAAGTAAATAGGTTAATGTTTGGTACCAAAGTTGCCCCAGCTATGTGGCAACTGTACATTTCCAGAACGTTGGAAGATATTCCAGAAGTATGTGAATTTTTGGACGATATCAAAATTCAAGGATCAAATTTAACAGAAAATATCAATAGAGTTGAAATGGTTTTAAGACGATTACAGGAAGCAGGTTTGAGAATTAAGATGGAAAAATGTAGATTTTTCGAAAAATCAGTTAAATATCTAGGGCATATTGTATCCGAGAATGGTTTGGAAAAATCCGATGAGAAAATAGAAGCTGTCAAGAATGCTAAAGGACCTACCAATATAACTGAACTTAGAAGTTGTTTATACTTATTACGGATCACAAACCTTTAGTTTCAATATTTAGTCCAGAAAAACATTTACCTTCGATGGTTGCTACAAAAATATTACACTACGCTCAATTTTTACAAGGTTTTGATTTCAAAATTATTTATCGTTCAACTTCAAACCATGCAAACACGGAAAGAAGAAAACCTACAAGACATTTATAATTGCTTATCACAGGGAAAAATCATCGAAAAAGAAGGTTTTATAGGAAGAGATGTTGAATTTTCTTTAGCTGATGGAGTAATGAAAAATAATAGAATAGTGATACCAAAAAGTTTACAGAACAGAATTTTAGAAGAATTACATGAAGGCCATTTAGGAATATTCCGAATGAAGAATTTGGCAAGATCATACGTTTGGTGGGTTAATATTGATAAAGATATAGAGAATATTGCTAAATCTTGTATCACTTGTCAATTATCACAAAATCAACCTAAAAAGACAATACATTGTTGGGAGAACAGCAAAAGTCCTAGATTACACATAGATTTTGCAGGTCCTTTTTACGGTTTTTTTTTTTTTTGATCCTAGTGGATGCATATTCAAAATGGTTGGAAGTAATACCAATTAAATTACTGCTACAAAGACAAAACGTGTTTTGAGAGATATTTTTGCTAGATTTGGTTTGCCCATCATAATGGTAAGCGATAATGGATCAACTTTTACTTCCAATGAATTTAAGATGTTTTTAAAATCAAATGGCATTAAGCATCGGTTATCCGCACCATATAAATAATAAATAAGAATAAGAACGGATTGCTATACGTTTTGCCTCGTCTTGTGTAATAAGCCTTCTGCGTCTTTTTCTATCTAATAAAGTTTTCATATTATTACCTCTTTGTTTGGTAAAATAGATAGGTCTATAGAGGCATGCAATCACTGTTATGGAAAATTTACAAGACCTACTTGGGCTTTTTTTTTGCATAAATTCGAGCCTCAATGATTGACACAATATTTGTTAAGTTGTAGTTGACAACACTGTTTGACAAGGGACAAAGTAGGCTTTGCAAAATATCAAAATTCAAATATGGCGCCCTGTAATACCGACATTGGACATTGTAATACATACATATTTCCAAAACCTACTTGGTTTGATATAAGCCCGTAAAGCGAGAATTTTCCTGAAAAATCAACTTTCAAGATTTTTGGTGTTTTTTTTTTTTAAATCTGCTTCCAATTTTTGGTGAATTTAATTTTTTTTGACTTGACAACGGTGCATTTGAATCAAATTAAGAGCCAAGAATATTCAAAATTATATTGAAAAATCTTCTCTGGCATAAAAAAAAAAACAATTCTTACCTGGAACGTTTCAGTCTAAGGAACTCTGTTTCTTTTTGGGCATGCTGCAAGCGTTTTTCGTGTCTTTGTTCTTCCGAGAGGCTCTCGTCTTTGAGAGACTCTTCTAATTTAGCTAACCTAAAAATATAATCGATAATTTTTGACTGAGACACACAAAACATGTTACCTTTGTTTTCGCTCGACATGCTGCGCAACGAGATTACTATAATAATTTTCTAGGGTTACTTTGGCTTTGGTGGCCTTGTCCAGGGTATGGACGCTAAAACGGACGGTGTTCTCCGTGGCGGTCATGTCCAAGACCCCTGAAAAAGAAACAAGGAAATTGTAAATACAACTTTCATTTACTTAATAGCAGTTTGAAACACTTTCACTAAATGTATAAATAATTATTATCGGCTGACCCTACTGAACTTATTCTATACAGTAAAGTCCATTTCTGATGATGGAAAACCCACACACACTTTATTTTTTCGTCGAGAAAAACATTTTTCCGTTGTCAACTTGAAAAATGCCCACGCGCCTCCTTGACTTTGCCTACTTGTTGTGCTTCAAAACTATTCATCCTTAACAAAAATAACAATTTCAAAGCTTATGTAATAAGTTGGTCTTATGCAAAATTCAATAATAATTGGAAAGCTATTTTGAATATTAATTTGTCTCTTGAAAATTCAAGATGAATTATGATAAATTGACAGATCTGCATCGCAGCAAATAGCATTTTTTGAAACTTGCAACAAGTTCAAAATAAGCTCCAATGGTAAAATCATGCTTTGACCGATTCATTTTTAAGCTAATATAGATACAGACACTTTTTGAAATATTTACTTATGATAAGATAAAACATGATAAGGCACAATTTAATGTAAAAAAAGTGCATTCAATATTTGCTTATTGAAAATCAATTAAACCAATTTATTCCGTATATATTTTCTTTTCATGTTTTATTCAGATTTTGTATAATTTATAACTGTTATAAAAAGATCGATATAGATATAGCACGTTTATTTGCCGGGTTAAGGACAAAGATTGATTAATTATTTGTCGAGGTCAGGAGGGGTTGAAACTGTGTCACGTGACAAGGACACTATGATTTAAAAATTCTTACTTAGAATCAAGTTGGAATTTTTAGACAAAATTTTGACTATAGGTCAATATTTTGGAAAAATAAAAATCAATTTAATATGGTTTTATAGAATATTCAATGCCCTTTCGAATGATGTATAATTTAACTCAATTTGTTCAAATTTTATTGCAGATATGAGGATTTCAAGAAGAGTTTCTCAAAAACGAAAAAAACATTGCAGAATCTGGCAAAATATTCCTGAAAAACTTGGCCTACACGACAACTGAAATAGAAATTGAAGATTTATTGACAAAATACGGCCCTTTGACCGAAATCAACCTACCAATCGACTGAACAACCAGAAAATCTAAAGACTTTGAAGTAATAACATTTATGATGTCTGAACTTGCAGTCAAAGCCTACACTGAACTAGATGGTTCAATTTTACATGGTAAAATGATGCATTTGCTACCAGGCAAAGCCAAAGACAATCTTGAAGAAAAACAGTTGGCCATTGAAGAAACTCAAATTATTGTTACTCAAAAGAGGAAATATTTAGAGGAGTTGTTGTTGTGATTTGTTTCAACACAATAAATTGGTTGGTTGGTATTATTTTATTTGGTTTAACTTATTGTTGGTTTTAGGTGGTCAAATCGAGATCTAATACAGAACTGAAGCTAGGGAGCTTAAGGGAATATTTGCCAAACATGGAACATTGGGCAGAATTATTTTGCCTCCTAGTGGGATAACTGGTGAATAATTTCAACTTTGAGGCTCAATGTCTTGAAGTTATGTACGATTTTGTGAGCCAATGTCAAGATTTTTCAGACAAAAATTATTTTTATTTTTTTACAGGCGCTAAACCTAAATCCTCAAATAACGAAAATGCTTTTCCACTAAATTTGAACCCCTCTTTCGACTGGTAAAGTCAAAAATTGGAAAATCTCAAAAAATCAAAATTGAAATTTTGTTGAGGGGGGGTTGGGTGTTTTTTTATAATACTATCAGAGAAACCAAATACCTCAAATTTTACCTGTAGCTTTCACTTGTATGTACAGGTAGAATGGTTCACAAAATCAGTAGTAGAATAGTATTTTTATAATTTTTGGAGCCGAATATATAAGAGATTGCTGAATCAAATATAAATTGGACCCTCGATCGGGCCATTGTGCTCTTTAAGAATATAGTATGAAATATGGGGCATCTCATTTGAAAAAAGCTGAAAGCATGCAAAATTTCACAAAATTTTATTTCTGACCATGGTTTCTAAAAATTCAGCCAAAACTTTACAACTTTTGTATTTACACCTTTTTTATACTTGTAAAAGTAAAGGTTGTACGTGGGGTGCGAGGGATGTCTCACGGTCGGAAATAGGTGTACAGGGTGATCTATTATAAATGTCACCCCCTGCTAACTTTTTTATTTGACGTTTTTGACAGAAGTCTCAAATACAAAAGTTTTAGGAAATTGTCAAAAGTTTTCAACTAAGTCAATTTCAGGCATACAGGGTGCGTCAAAAAAAGTGCAGCAGTGTAAACTTATATCTTTTTAAATAGAACACCCTGTATATTGTGCGCTTATTTGTTAGTCCTATTTTATCTGATTTCAACGGTATATGGTTTGACATGTTTATCTTTCGATTTATCTCCAATAATAGTTATAGGGAAAAAACGCGAAAATCCCTTCCTAGGTCTCATGTTATTTTTTGTAAAATAATAATAATAATTTAGACATTCGGATTTATTATAATATTTCACCTTGTATATTATTGAATGAAATTTGAACAATAAATTGTTTATAAAAAAAATTCTCTAAAGCTTGTAAGGTAGGTATAATTTTTCTTCTTTTAATGTGAAACCTTATTTTTCCCTGTAAATATTGAAGATAGATATATCAAACCGTATATCGTTGAAATCAGGTTAAAAGGGACTAACAAATAACCGCACAATATACAGGGTGTTCTATTTATGAAAATATAACTTCATACTGCTGCATTTTTTTGATGCACCCTGTATGCCTGAAACTGACTTTGTTAAAAACTTTCGACAATTTCTTGAAACTTTTGTATTTGACACTTTTGTCAAAAATGTCAAATGGAAAAGTTAGAAGGGGGTGACATTTATAATAGATCACCCTGTACAAGTCTGAAAATATTTCCGGAAATGTTGAGAAATTACGGAAATTTCCTGTAAATTGTGAGAAATTCTGAGAAATGTCAGGAAATATTAGGAAATTATTTGAAATATTAGGAAATTATTCAAAATTATGGAAAGTTTTCAGCAATTATTATAGGAAATTAGGAAATTATCTCCAGACATCTTTGAGAATTTTTATGTTTCAAATATTGTTTAGTTTCTGTGCGGCACTTGGTGCTTTGTCAATAAAAGTACCTAACTAGTATAAGTATAACCGAGTTTCAAATATAGAATATCGAGTAGAATATTATCATGAACAATTTGATACGAGAATCTATTTAATACCTCTAGATTCTAGATCAAGCTCTAGATTGATAATTGGAAAGTAAAAAAGTTGAAGCTCTACTTTCAAAAAGTGACAAACTGGATCAAATAGCAGCCAACTTTTGTTACCACCATGTACAGGGTCTTTTCCTATAATTAGTGTGGCTTTTAAAACTTAAACAAACAAAAAAATTTTAAAAAAAAAATTAAATACAAAAGTTGTAGGATTTTATTTCTAATATCTTTTGCACATGTCAAAACGGGAAAATGACAAGTGCCAAGTGCCATAATGAGAAACACTTGCATTTCTTTAAATGGAACACCCTGTATATTTTTGGCTAGAACAATAATTGATTATTTTCTTTTGATTCCTAATAAAGGTACCTACCACATAAGTATGTTAATATTTAGGTCAGCTGTTTTTGCGGTATCTAAGTTTAAAATTGCATTAAGTAAGCCTCACCCACCATTGATATGAGGAACCGGGAACAGACCTAATTTAGGATAATGTAAATGCATTTTTAAATTCAAATAGTATAAAAACAGATGAACCTAATATCAACATATATGGTATATGTATTTGGAATAAACAGAATAAAATCTATCATTCTACCTAAAAATATACAGTGTGTTTAAAAAAATGCGAATGTTTGTCATTATGACAGTTATCATTTGCCGGTTTTAACATGTGCAAAAGATAATAGAGACTTTGATAATAGAAATAAAGCCTTACCCTACAACTTTTGTATTTAAATTCAACTTTTTTTTTTAACTAGTTATACAAGGGAACAGGCCCTGTACCTACATATTTCAGCAAAAAATGTTCATTACCAGTCAACTAAAATTATTATTATAAGTAAAGATGGTTGGAAATTTTGGGGAAAAATGAAAAATCTCTTCGAAATTTTGAGAATTATCAATTTTTTTCTTCCAGAAATTTCATAGAAAATCAGTAATTATTTGAGAAATTTAGGAAATTATTCAGGAAGTTCCATAAATTATTTAGGAAATTTTAAAAATTATAGGAAATACTGAATATTCTGAATATTCATAGAATTTCGGAAATTATGGGCAATATCAGGAAAACATTTCCAAAAAGGGAATACGAGTACAAAATTTAAGAGAGTGAGACACCCCTCGGTGGGGTGTCAATATATAAAAAAACACTCTGTACAAATAAGTGGATTATTGCGGAACTTATGGGTAGACCTCTGCGGGACGAGCGCAGCGAGTTCCGCAGCCATTTACTCACCAATATACTGTTGAACTGTTCAAATAAGACACTCACCTGAAACGTGTAGTTTTTGAAGTAATGAGAAAAATTCACAACTGAGTGAATCAGGTTAGTATTATACTTGAACAACATATTGGTGAATAGATGGCTGAGTCCACCCATAAGTTCCGCAACAATTCACTCGTTTGTACTTGAATAACTTGTCACAATATATTACTAGTTTGGTGAAGTAACATTACTAATTCCTGTTAAAAGACAAATTAAAAAAAAAGTGAATAATCTTACAAATTCTGACTTTTTAAAATAAGTTATTGTTCAAGTAGAAATAAGTGGATTATTGCGGAACTTATGGGTGGACCTTTGCGGGACGAGCGCAGCGAGTTCCGCAGCCATCTACTCATCAATACACTGTTGAATTGTTCAAGTAAGACATTCAACTGAAACGTGTAGTTTTTAAGCTAATGAGAATAATTCACATTTGAGTGAGTCAGGTTAGTATCGTAATTAAACAACATATTGATGAATAGATAGCTGCGGAACTCGCTG